GCAGCAGAAGGGAGCCAGGTGGCTAGGCCTGTCTCTGGTCTAGGATACAAGGGATGAGAGCTACAGGGGAGCCCTTGACCCCCCCCTCCTCTATGTCTCCACTGTGACTGGAATGCATGTCTACAATAGCATCTATTACCTGTGGTGGACTCTATCCGTGCCCATCTTCTCCAGCAGGCTGAGCTCCTGAGAGCAGGAATCATGTCTCACTCCACCGTGTGGTCTCCAGATCTAACAGGAATCATACAGGTACAGACAGGCACTCACACATTTTATGGTGAATTTCTATCTTATTTGGCCTGCAACTGCAGAAGAGAGCACAGGGATTCAGGCAGACCTACAGGAAACAGTCCATTTGGTGGGTGTATGCCATTCTTCCCATGTCTCAAAAGTCAAAAGTGTAGTGGTGCCGGCAAAACGGGGCTCACCAGAGGGCAGAATGGGATCCAGCAGGGGACAAGTGGAGATAACATCTGAGAAAAGTGGTCAAGATTTAGGGCCCTGGAACTCTTCATTTAATTGTCAAATATCGGCTCCGTGAAACTGCCTAGACTGGCTCTGTTCCTGGGTCCTTTGGCCTGAGGTTGTGGGGCAATAGAGTGGGCTAGAGAGCCCAGGATGGGCTGAGCAGCATCTGAGGTTGGTAGGAGGTGCCCAGCCCCGGAGAGGTGGAGACGGTGATTATGAGTGTGACATCCAGGCTGTGACATCTAGGTTGTCATCCCCCAGAGAAGGGTGACACGTGTGCAGCAAGTGGGACTACACGCAGGGGCCTCCTGGCCTGTGAGCATCAGCGACCTGGGAATGCCAAGAGGCCAGGCTACTCTGGACCTGAATCCTTTTTATCAGCTAGCCCTGCAGCAAACACATCAAATACTGTCAGGGAACAGATACACTGCATTTCAGCATCTTCAAGGGACTGAAGATGTGTATTGCTGTTCTGGCCCATCCTTCCACTTTCTAGAAGTGGGAAGATGGGCTTCTCTGAGCTTTGGCCACCTCATCCAGGGCTACAGTGAGGCTGAAAGTTGACGTGTGGGAGTGCTTTATAAAGTACCATGCAACGTGCCCTGGTCCATACAACTCATTTATTCAACAAAGCAGTACAAGCCTCCCCTTCAGTCAGGACCTGCCTGCAGGGGTGGGAGTAGGGGTGGACCCTACTTCAGGGTCTTGAGCCAATGCTAGCTGGAGGGTTTAATACCTTAGTAATCTTCCCGTCATCTCTGGCCCCATGGATCACAGGGGTCAGGGGAGTGAGGGCCTGGTAGAAAGGCACTGAGGCCCTTTATTTAGTTCGCTGGTAGAACTGGAAGACTGCTTTCTCCTGCTCATAGGTCTCGATGGAGCCAGGTCGTAGTCGGCGGATTTCAGCAATGGCGTCTCCTGCAGCCAAGCCCCGCTCCTTCACCAGGTAACAGGCCAGCATGGTGCCAGTACGGCCAAAGCCCAGAGCACAGTGCACTCCCACAGCCTATGAAGAGGGGGCGCGATGGGTGCCGCCCGACTCCTCCGCCCCCAACTGTTTCGTGCCCCTCACTTGGTTCTCCCCACAGCTGCTGCTTCTGTGCCAGGCCCAGGGCTCTGCAGCAGTCAGGGAGGACTGTCCCTGCACTGGGTGGCTAGAAGGCCTCTGCAGTGGCTGGTTCAAGAGCTGCCAGCCTCCGCACGGCCCTTCGCCTGTGCTGCCCAATACAGAAGCCACTGGTCAGGGCTACCGTGGCTACTGCATACTTAGAATGCGGCTAGTCCAAATTGAAATGTAGTGTGAAAACGCACCAAGGTACGAAGAGGTAGTACAAAAAAGAATGAAAATATCTCATTAAGATCACTAAAATTAAGTTTATCTGCTTCCCTGCCTTTTAAAAATGCGGTTGCTGTTAAAGTTAACATTAAATGGAGCCACTTAGGTTCCATTATACTCGGGCAGCTTTACTCTAGAAAATAGTAAACGGCTTCCACGTGACTTCAACCCCCACCTCTCCCAGGTGTCCGTCCACACCCTTCTCCTTTTCAGCTCACAGTATTCGCTGGTTTCCACCGCCTCTCCTCAAGCCCACTTCGCAGCGCTTCGCCCTCTCTTTCGTTCCTTGCGTTTAGCGTCCCCTCCCCAGCACTGGCTTCCCGGTCTCCCGGCCCTACCGCCCGCCCCAGTCCCTCCCCAGCCCAGCTAGTCCCAACAGGCCCGGCCTCCCCAGCTCCGCCCGCGGCCCCTGCTGACCTTCCAGGCCGCTCCCTCCCTGCGCTGCCCCCGCCCGCTGACCTCTCCCCGGGCGTTGGCCTCGTCCACGATCTGCACGAAGCGGTCGATCTGGTCGGGGGCCGGGGGGCAGAAGTCGGGGATGCGCAGGCGGTGCAGGGTGAGGCCGGGGCAGCTGTCGCTGTGAGGGGGCCCGCGCTCCGTCAGGGACACCAGGTGCCGCACGCCCAGGTCCAACAGGAACTGGTAGTGGGCAGGGAGCCGCGGCAGCGCCAGCCCCGCCAGCCGGCCCGGGAGCACCCAGGAGAAGTTGGGGGGCTGCACGCCCATCGCTGGGAGAGAGCACAGGACAGCGGGTCACGGGGGCGAGGCTGGCCCGCCCCGCTCCGCCCACCCGTCCCCTCGCCCGCTCCGGGCCGGGTAACCCAGCACCTACCTGGCCCCGGCGCCTTCCGGGCCACGTGGTCTGCGGGGCGCTGTCCCTGGGGACGCTCTGCCCCGCCTCCGGGATTGGCCCAGCGCCTGGGGCGGGGCTGAAACGCGGAACCCAGGCTCAGAGCGACCGAGGGAAGCGCCGCGATCCCGCCCCTCCCGAGAAGGACACGCGGTGATTGGCTGGATCATCATAATGGGCGGGGTTACCTCTGCGGGGTTTAGCCCTCTATGCTAAGAAGGAAGACCCGGAGCGAGTAAGGAATTGATTGCTGCGGATGGAACAACCCGGGGTCGGGCTCTGCTGCTCCCTGGCGGCGTGTTGCAGTCATTGCGTCGCTGGCCCGTTGCCCCTGCCTCGCTGCGGGCCGGCATTATTCTACCTTCTTCACGCTGGATGCCCTAGGGTTTAGGAGGTGACAAATTGGCTTTCCCCCAGGGCGAGGAGTCTCCTCTCTAATGACTGACTGGTCGTTATCGGCGACTTTTTGAACTGTTACAGTAAGAGGGAATTGCTGCTGCACAGGAGGCTCTTCTCATTTTTCCATTGCTGAAACTATTAAAAACTTACACAGGCTAATAATTAGAGTAATAATAATAACCAGCACCAACAGTCACCTCCCACTTCTCCTGTCAATCAGCTGCTCCTCTAAGCACCTAACACATATTGACTTATTTAATTGCCAGAATAATCTTATAAGGTAGGTGATCTAATGAATCCCATTTTATGGATTAAAAAACAGAGGCACTGGAGAGGTTAATAAACTTGACTAAAGGATGATGACTGACGCCTCCAGAATCTTTAACAACACTGCCAGTTTCCTAAAGTTAAACAGAAATTGTTTTCTCTTCACATAACGCCCACGTGCCCCCAGATATTATCTGGAATAAATACTTGTGAGTTTTCTTAATTTTTTAATAATATTTCATGTTTCTTCATTTTTCAAGGTTTCCTGTTTCTCTGGGTCACTGTTCCCTGGGCAGGCTAGAGTTGATCAGTGTTGTTCTTACAAGGTGGGGGCCACCAGATCTGAACACTGTCTCTGCTGTCATCTGACCAGTCCGTGTCCTCATTTGAATAACGTGCTTCTAGCAACGCAGACTAACCGTAATTATGAAAATAGTTAACCCTTGTTGAATTTGTTTATGTACCAGGCCCTGTGCCAAGCGCTTTCTGGAAGAATACATGTGAAAGGTATTTTTGTATCTTTTTTGTACATGAATCATTGGAAACTTCAAGAAGTTGGTTAACCTGGCCAAGGACACAGTGATCCAAGCCCAGGGCACTTGGCCATGAGGATGTATTACATTTCCCTCCCTTTGCACCTACCTATGACACACGTTTGACCATTTAAACCTTTGGCTCCAACAAGACAGAAAGGAATTTGTCTTCTCCTAAAGATCAAAACCTACTCTGACCCTGTGGAAAATACACTTACAATTTACCCAGATAACCACCCTCCCCAGGTTCCAAGAGCTGCCAAATCTCCCCGTTTTCCTTCCAGACAATCACAGCCCTAATTAAGCCCTTCCTGTTTGCACCCTCATTTCCTACATAACTTCCTATCAATCTTTCTGGCCCTCCCCAATTTATTCTTTTCTCTCCTTCCTAGCTGTGGCGTCTCTGCCACCAGTCGCCTCTTCCCCCTGCCCCCTGCCCCTGACCTCCCACTTCTCTTCTCAGTCCAACTGCTCTTCACGATTTCTGGTTGCACCAGCTCTGCAGACAAGACTCTAGCACTTGCTCTTGCAAGTTAATCTTTTCTTAGTCCCTTTGCCTTATTCTCCTTCTCTTGCTACCCCTGCTCATCAGGGAACTTTCCACTTCACTCCCTCCTCTCTTTTGCCCCTTCTTTGTCTCCTTAATATCCAGCTCAAAGCCCATATTCTCCAGAAGGAGAAAATTTTTTTGGGACACTGAGATCTTTCTCTTCCATGAGTCCCCCAACAGTGATTCTCTCCCTCTTGTGGGTTTCTGCAGGGCTAGCAGAGCATCCATCAAACCATCGGGGCTTCCCTGTGGAGAGGCCAGTTGGCTCCCTTTCTAGGAAGCTCTGCCCTTCCCTTCTAGCACACCCAGAGTGGAAAGGGCCTAGGGTCCCTGCCTTAAGCTGTGTCCCATTGTCAAGGGTGCCATTTGATGTTTTGTCTTGGGCCCAAGGGGCCCCAAACTCTAAGGAAAAACCCTCTCTGAGGGTTTCCTGGCTAGGACTTCTGTAACTAACCATACCCTTGTCTGCCCGTCTGCCCACATACAAGATACTGATCTTTTATTCTGTCCTCTGAACAGAGTTACCTGACCCTCAGAAAGATTTAGGCTTTTTTTTTTTTTT